AAAATCACCATCAGTCAATTGCAAAAGGCAGCTTTACTTGGAACAGCTTACATCCTGCAACAATACCTTTAGTATTACTAAACAACGTCTATCCCAGGTCCTTGGGAAGGACTCAATAGGTGGACAAAAATGCCAAATCCAGTCTAAACATCTGGCTGCAGTGCAACCAATCACCACCACCATCATCATCTATTAAATTTATATGCTGTCCAGCTCCCAGTGACTCTGGGTGGTTTAAGATTGTTTAATCTCTCTCTCATATCTTGCATCTCATGGCATCTCTGGCAATAAGGATCTTGTATGTAAGACAGGTCCTGGTCATGATTGAGTTCACCATTGGTACCTGTGTCACCAGGGCTATGGTGAGGTGGAAGCATCCCAAAAAATCTCAGTTCAAGTTTTATGAGCTAAAATCAATGAAAAATACTACAGCTGTATCAGAATTAAGCAACAACAGATTATAGCAGCTTCTTTGTTTTCTTGAATCATTTGGAGGCAGAAAAAAATTGAACTTATTTCTAATCTTTAAGTAATTGGGCTCAGAATGAAGATCACATACTTTGGTAGAACATATTAACAGATTTATTTATTCAATTTATGTCCCATCTTTCCTCCAGGAGCCCAAGGCAGCTTACAGGGGATCTGCCTTCACTTTTGTCCCCACAACAGCAGCCCTGTGAGATAGCCTGGGCTGAGGGACAGGACAAGTCCAAAGTCAGCAAATGAGTTTCTACAATTAAGAGTGGACTTAATCTTAATTCTCCCAGGACCTAGATCAGCACCTTAACCACTACACCACTTGGCTGTATTGAATTACTTTCCATTCTCAATACATACAAAAAGACCTTTATTTACAGAATTTAGAAGGCTATACAATTAATTGCAGAAATAGTCACTTTTTAACAAAAATATTTTATAAAAAACAATTGATTAGATTTCATTCTAATCAATTAAAATATTTCAGCAAAAATGTTACTGTCTAATTCCTGAAACATACCTGTAGCATCTGCCTGATGAATGCATTCAGCTGTCACGTAAGGCAAGTTTGGTTCTGGTGAGTGCATATTCTGCCCACTGTTCATATAACATGAAAAATCCTAATTCATCAGTTATGCTGAGTTCTTTTCATGAAGATTTTGTGCATATAATCCCAAAATCTCCCCTGATGAGATTCATTGTGATGAATCATAGCTGTGAGAGCTTCTCCTTGATCAAGACTCTGCCAGTAATCTTGAAGCCACATTTCTTTCCAGCTGAAAAATATATAACAAAAAGAATATTCTTTAAATCTTTTTTGTCATAGAGAATGACTATGTGGTCACAGTAAAGCATATTTAGCAACTAAATGAGAAGATTAAAATGTTATTCACTTTGACTAGATTTTGGGCAACACTGGAATTAATCTGGGACTCCACAAAATACTTCCTTCTAAAGCTAGATCATATATTTGCTGCAGAAATTAATAGCTTTGTTGAAAGGAAAATCTTCTGGAAACAACTTTAAACATGGAATATATGGTATTATATGGTAATATATTTGGGCCAACTAACCTAGAAATGATGATCAGTAAGCTATTATAGGCATGATCCTAACCACATTTGCATACTGTAAAGATTAGTAAGACTAAATATGATAATTATATAGTAATTTATTTCATCCTACACATTTATTGTTATATTACCTTTATTACGGATAAATATTGTTATATTACCTTTATTACGGATCTTATCACCTGCCAGTGTTTTGCAAACTGCAGCATTTTAGGAGAAGCAGATTTAAGACAAGGAAACTCCCCTCCTCTTTGCTTTCCTGTCTTTACTGAATGAGACATGCTGTCTTCAAAATGAAATGCCATCCTTTCAGTAATTATGCAAAAGTAAACAAAATCATCCTTTCCATTAAAATTGTGGTTTTAAATTTTATTGGGACTTCTTGCTTATTATCAATTAAACAATTTCATGTTATAAGCCTGTATGGTTCTATTATTATTTTATTTGATATATACAGTACTGTGCAAAAGTTTTAGGGAGGTGTGAAAAAATGCTGTAAAGTAAGAATGC